CCACAACTTAGTATGTGGCTGCTTTTTGCTCATTGATTCTAATTTTCCTTCAATCATAATGTGGCAAAAACCTGTCTATCTGAATCATGCAAAGATGAATAACACTCAGCTCCTGTCCTCAAGGTGCTGACGGTCTAAGCGGGGTGATGTGACGGTCCACAAGGAATAAGCTCTAAGCTACGACGGGAGATGTCAAAGGCCATGGGATGCAGGGGTAAAGTGCCCCGGCAGTCCAGAGGAGGGGAGAGGGTGTCTGGGGACTAGGCAGCAGCTCTTGGATGGAAAGCAAGGAGGAGACTGAGAGATGAGGGAAGGGCGAGGGGTGGTGGACCTTGGAGACAGGGGCGTGGCAGAGGGGAGGAGGGCGTCCCTTTTCTCATCCGCAGCCCCAGCTCCTGTAGATCATCTCCCTTCTTTATTCTTTCTCTCCCTCTCTGTTGTAACAACTTCCCAACTAACTTGCTAGCTGCCAACAGAATCATCTTTAAAAACGAACCTCTGATCCTTGAGCCTCCCTTCCCCAGTTTTGGCTCTTCGCCGGCTTACTATGAGAACCCTCCACAATCTGGATGGAATCTTCTCTTCCTAACTCATTTCCTAACACTCACACGCCCGCCCAACCCCCCAAAACACCTCCCTGATAAACTGAGACCTTCAGAATAGGATGGAGCCGCACCCCCAGCACGTCCTGTTCCTCGCCCCTCCCCCGGCGCCCTGTTTTCTGTTCCTCACGCTCAGAGTTTGTTTCTGCCTGGGAGCTGTTCCGCTGAGCGCTCTCTGCCCTTCACATGATCTCATCACACGGATCTCAGCGCCAAGCCCTTCCCTGACCACCTCCTCTCAAGGGGTCTCCGCAGCGCTCGTTCTCACTTGGCTTGTGAGATTCAGGGCCACTGCGAGGGTGGAGTATGCTCTGCAGTAATTAGAAAAAGGTGCTCCCTCCGGCTGGTGCAGCCCTCCCCCTCCCCCCCGGCTGGGCCTCCGCGCCGGGGATGCGCTGCAAACTCGCTCACAGCAGCCTGGAGGCGTCTGTTCCTAACTGAAACCTTCTTATCTGCCTCTTTGTTCTTTGCCAGTTTCCCCGGGGAGCTGTGTGAGAGCAGAAACCGTCTCTCTCATAATTTCAAAATTATGTCTCCAATACTGTACTAGTGGCGTGAACCCCAGGGCTTAGAGTTCTGTAGAAACTCAACATAGGTTGGTTGAATGAATGACTGAATTCTGTGATGCCTGGATCGCTCCCGTCTACACTGCCTTACGCCTCTGGAGAGACATCTTCTAGGGTGTTCCTCGGAGTGTGTTGTCCTTCTGTTCCTAGTCTCCACCTCCTCCACTGGACTGTGAGCTTCCCGGGGCCAGGGTCAATCCTGTGGTGCTTAGGACAGGACCTGACACCTCATGAGTTCTCCACAAGACTTTTATGTCAACGCCTGGGCTTTTGAACCTCGGTGGAAGGGGGACACGTGGTTCCATCAACATAAGGGAGTCTGCAGGAGAAGCGGTTTCCAGGGGGAAAAGATGAGCTCAATCTTGAGTCTGAGAAGTCAGCTGAACGTTCAGTTGGCAGTGTCTAGAGGTGGCTGGGAGCACGGGCCAGGAGACAGCAGCTGGGGGTGGAGGGGGAGCTGCAGAAGCAGGGGTGAAGATACTAATTAACAAGGAAAAGGCTATGTGGACCCAGGTCACGGATTAGAAGCCTGTGGAAAAGTCCAGCCTGCAGACTTCTTTTCCCCCATGGTGTTTGAAAATTTTTCAAATGTGTTGCCTGCTTTTAAAAGTAAGATCTTCACACAAATTTTGGATTTCTGGTTCCCTCGAAATACCAGATGTGGGGACGTGGTGCTGAAGACCTGCCCCCCAACCTCCCCCCCACCCCTGAGAGGGACTCTGGTGCCTTCACACCTGTCTCCTGTCACCTGCCTGGCCCTGCAGGCTTGCCAGCTCACGTGGAATGAGGAGCAGAGCCCGGAAGCAGCGGACCCCTTTCAGCAAGGGCCTTTAGGGGAAGGAGAGGCCCCAAGAAGGCTGAAGGGTTGGGTGAAGGTCGGAGGAGATCGTGGGCAAACACTGGGTCCAAAAGCCATGTGAGCCGAGAGGCCCAGTAGGGAAATGCGGAGGGGCTGGATGAGAGGGGAGGAAAATGAGCCTTCCCCACATCTCTTCTGATCTCGACGATGAGAATATCCACCCATCGGATCTCGCACACTGGCTCGAGAGTGTGAACTTCGGCATCAGATACAAGTTTAAGGATACGTCAGCCCCTTTCTGATCGATGCTAACTTTATCCATGAGGTCTGGGGGGCCAGGTCACAACAGCCTCCTCCCTGGGGGGATAAAGGGGTTTGCTGGCCTTTGTTCACAAAGCTGCTGAGCTCGGGCTGGTCCTGGGGGTTGAACCCAGGCCCTTGTGCATGCTAGGCATGCGCTCTACCACTGAGCTACACCTTCCTCCCACCAGACTTCTCTCTTCTGTCGTTGTCATTGGAACTTTAGTGTGGAGGCACTACGCTCCCCATTTTACTGTTTTTCCTTTATTACATTTTTCTCCTCTGCATCCTCATTTCCTCCTCCGTCCAACCCCCTACAGCAATGGCAGCCACGCTAATGTGTTTCATATACATCCCTGGATGGGCAGGCTTTCTGGACTATTCTTAGGGTTGGTTCTTGCATGTGTTTTAAATTTCTTTGAATTATCTACATCTGCTCACTGTCTGATGTGTGGCGTCCTTGGCCATGTGTCCTTCCATTCTCCTCCAGTGATGGACTCTTCCAACTGTGTTGACCACAGCTCTGCAGGGATGAACATTCTCACCCAGGTCCCCTTGCGCCTCTGTGGGTGGTTTTCTCTGGGACAGACACCAGGCGTGGGGTAGAGGACACACAAAGCTGTAATTCTTTGAGATACCAATCGCCGGTCATTTCCAACTCGTAACAACCGCTCCTGAGACTGGCTGCTTCTCTATACCCTCATCCACAAATGGACGTTATCAGACTTTCTAAATTTTTCAACTCCAGTTGGGGTAAAGTGGTATCTTACTGCTTTAATTTACCTTTCTTTGATGAATAATAAGGTCGCACATCTCTTTCTTATATTAACTATTTAGATTTCTCCTTCTGTGAATTGTTTGGCCCAGTTTATCTTTTTCAGGATGAGAATATACCTTTCCACTTGGTGCTACCATCTTATCTTTCCCCTCAGGGCTCTCAAAATTAAGCCAAAATAGACCCAGTCTATACCAATGGCTTAAGATAGTGACAGTTATTTTCCGTTTCAATGGCTTCCCTGCCAGTGCTAATTACAACTTAAAACTGTATTATTTACTTGTGGTTTACCTGTCTTTGGCCACTTTCCCCCTAGAAAACATGCTTTATGAGGGCAGAGAGCCGGTCTCCCTGATCTAAGCGTTTTCTCCCTGCACATAGGACAGTGCTTGGCACATCATAGACGCTTGATAATGAACTATTGATTCTGTTCATTAATTGAATATGGAGCTGCAGGCATCTGATGCTAAGTGGGCCCTGGGGAGTCACAAGACACTGCCCTCAAAAGGAGCTCATTGGTCACCCGGGGAAGCCAAGAAATCGGAGAATGACAACGAACTGTGCCATGTGCTAGTTCAGCTGGAAACTTGTCTCAGTCAGAGGACCCAAGCCCTTCCACAGTAAATTACTCTTAAACAGAAATACATATGGGAGGGAACCGTCTCCTCCAGGGGCCAGTTGGAAGTTCTGCTGAATTCTAAGCTTCCACACCATCTCAGCTGCGTGCTTTTCTGGTTTGAGGATTCTTTTTTTTTTTTTCTTTTAAATCTATGTCAAGGCCTGGTAAGCTGTCCACAAAGTAAACTCTTGGACAAAGATCTAAAGCTGAATTTATCCAAAGCCTAAACAATTGCCAGGCACACCCACTGGCTACAAGACAGTATTTCTCCCTTTGATAATCATTGTCATAGTAGTCAATTACAGGCTGCTTTATTCCCATGGGTTTATTATAAAAACATCGGTCCATGCAACATGGGATGCCACGGGCATCTGTGACTCTCGCTGGGAAAGAAAGAAGAGCCTGTTTTAACTTCTCAGTGTTTCCAGACGGAGGACAAGCTGTCGTTCCCAAAGAGAAGAGAGATCAAGCCTGCTGCCTGGCTGCCTCCCAGGGCTGGGGCTCGTTTATCGTCACTCCCGTGAGGGACCCAGGACCTTGCAAACTGCATTCTGCAGAGTCAGCGTGTTTCCTCGGGGGCCACTGAAAGGATGTTCATCTGTTTCCTGAGCCAGTCCTCTCCCCGAACAGGAAGGCTATAACCAGAGCGGAAGCCACGTGGCTGGTTCCCAGTGAGCCCCTAGCCCATTGCACTAAGGGTGTTAAACCATGAGTGTTTCTTTGCTTAATTCACCTGAGTTTCCATGGGCACTTCCTAACATGGAAAAAAAAATTGGGAACGTAGACTTGTTTTTTGAGAGAACTCTTGGGTAAAAGAATAAACTGCAAGTTCAGTTTCACTGGAGAGCAGGGCTACGACATCTCCATGCCTCATGGGGTGAATCACCACCCTAAGGATATTCACTCATTTTTTTCATCAGATGTGTCCTGAGTGACTGCCCTGTGCCGGAGAGTCCACTGTGGACAGGAGGCAGCCCTGCCTCCAGGGGTTTACAACTCTGATAAATATGACACCAAGTGAAGGGAAGGTGGGAGGAGAGGGAAGACAGCTGGTTTAGGCGGAGGGAGCAGCCTATGCTGGTTCCAGAGACTAGGGAATGTGTGATATGTTCAGAGAATGGCCAAAGGTCCAGTGCGCTTACAGCGCAGGGTGTGAGGGGAGCTGTGGTGAAACGAGGCTTAAACAAGAGGCAGACTCTACGCTGGGTAATGTCTCTGGTTTCACTAGCCCCTCCCCTGGTTTTCCTGGCACACGTACTTGCCAAGTTGCCCTGCGTGTCCTTTCAGAAAATATGGATACAAATGAACTTATTTACAAACCAGAAATAGACTGGCAGACAGAGAAAACAGACTATAGTTACCAAAGGGGAAAGGGAGGGATAAATTAGGAGTTTGAGATTAACAGATACACACTACTGTATATAAAATAGATAAACAACAAGGACCTACTGTTCAGCACAGGGAACTACAGTCAATATCGTGTAATAACCTAGAGTGGAAAAGAATCTGAAAAAGAGTATGTGTGTGTGTGTGTGTGTGTGTGTGTGTATAATTGAATCACTTTGCTGTACACCTGAAACTAACACAACGTTGTAAATCAACTACACTTGAGTTAAGAAAAAGAAAGAAAGAAATGCTCCTGCTGTCCGTATATACCCTGACCCCAATGCAAGCCTTTTCAACAGTGGGTGAAAGATTTTTTTGTGATGTGAAGCAGTTGCCACCGCCCCCGGCCCCAGCCTAACGAGCAGTTATGGGTAGCACACTGGTTCCAACATTCTTAGATCAAGATTGTAAAGTTACATTTCAGCTGAGGTAGTGGGTCCCATTTAAGATGGTTAATAGTAACTGGGACAGAATGGGCACAGCTCAGTGTTAGAGTGGATGCTTAGCATGCACAAAGTCCTGGGTTCAATCCCCAGTACCTCCATTAAAAAAAAAAAAAGAGAAAGAAAAGAAAAGAAATAAAGGATAAATACACTTTAAAAAATAAAATAAAATGGTTAATCATAACTGGACAGAGCTGAGTAATCAAATTAGGTTCAATTACAAAATAATTCTTAATGAACAGGGGCATCAGATGGGGAAGCTTTTCAAAATTACCCAGCCTTGTGCCCTTCTCTGTCCTAATGAACACGGACCTCTACATGCAACTTGGATATTTAGAAAAAATTCCTCAGGCATCTCGGTGCACATTTGTGGTTAAAATGAATTCATAAAGCCCTTACCATTTGCATAGAAAAGGACATTTTCAGAAAATTCTAGTTTGTGGTTTTGAACATACTGGTACTCACTTCACCATGATGATAGAGGACAGAAGTCAGAAGTATTTTAATAAGAGTCAATCCCCATAAAATGTCCTAGAAATTTATTTTTCTTGTAATTTTCCATTGGATCCATAAAGTCAGGGTCATGATTACAATCAAGAAGGTGGCAGTAAATTCCCCGTCCACCTTTATTTATTTCCTCTTAAATAGGAAAAGACATGAATTATCCTCCTGCCTGGTGGATCCACCTGGCAGATGCATGGCACTGGCAAATCTGAGTTGGAGAAATCAGAGCTGGCTTTTCCTCATTACTGACAAGTCACCGGACAATCACAGCCATCGCTCATATCTCATGAGGCAGCACTGAAGTCCTATGGGAGACGTGGCAGGAGGAACTTACTGTCGTGGCTTAGAGGGGACTTTAACATCACTCTCTATGGTCTGCTTTGGTTTGAGCTAAATCACAAATTAATGTATCAAGCAAAGGTCAAAAAGAGGAGGGAGAAGAATTTAAAAAAGCCAGTTGCCAAGCAAAATAAAAAAGATGCTTAGGTATGGTAGTGCCACTGATGATGGAGAGAAGTAGGTAGGTTCAGGAGATTAGGATGTTGAACTGATGGCCCGGGGTGATGGACTGCCTGTGGGGACAGGAGTCAGAGATGGTGGCTGGGAATCTGGGTCGGACTGCTGAGTGGACATCAACTGGCCATGTGACCCACTGGAAATATTACAGATGTAACTATACTATAAGATTTTCTCCTAAACACAGTAAATCATCATATGACATTGACTACGGTTTAGAATCATAGAATGTTTTTCTTATCTTCATGATTTCTGTCTTATTTTTATTAACAAGTTTAGAAGGGAAGGAAAATCTATACCAGAATTAGAAGACTTAGGAGTGCTTTTGTCAGAAGATATTTTTGCTTTTTGTTTTATTTCCTTTTAACATTTAAATAAAACATTTCAAACATATACAAAAACAGAGGGAATAACAATGAAACACATGCATACACTTCACTCAGATTCCACAGTTACCAACTCATGTCCAAACTTACAAATTATCCTCGTTCACAGCTGAATTTTTCTTGTTAGCGTTGCTGAGATAGAGTTGACATACAGCGTTATGTAAGTTTAAGGTGGTCAACATGATGATTTGATACACATATATATTGTGAAATGATTATTACAATAGGCTTGACACACTATCACCTCATATATTTACATTTTGTGTGTGTGTGTGTGTGGTGAGGACATTTTAGATTTACTCTCTTACTGACTTTCAAGTATATAATATAGTCTTGTTAACTGTAGTCATCATGCTGCAGTTAGGTTCCCAGAACTTACTCATCTTAAAACAGAGTTCTCATCTTTTGAGCAACATTTCCTCATTCCCCCACCATCTCGGCCTCTGGCAACCACCAATCTAGTCTGTTTCTATGAGTTCAGCTTTTACAGTTTCCATGTATAAGTGATATCATATAATTCTTGTCTTTCTGTCTCACTTTTCTCACTTAGCATCATGCCCTTGAGGGCATCCATGTTGTCACAAATGGCAGAATTTCCTTCTTTATTATGGCTAATAATGTTCCTTTATATATATATGTATATGTTCTATGTGCATTTGTGTGTACCGTTAACAGATTATTGTAGCTATAGTTATTTTTAATACTTTTGTCCTTTAACCTTTATTCTAGAGTTAAGTGATCTCCACACCATCCTATTACAGCATTAGCGCATCCTTACACTGACTATAGACTTACCGTTGCCAGTGTGTTTTACACCAGTGTGCATATGCCTTTAAACTGCATGAACTAAGCCTCAAATCTGTAATGTTCAGCTTTTGAGTCCTTTCCGAGTGACTGCTTTACAGTGTTTGAAACCCGTAAAGCTTCGTTTTGCATGATGAGAATCGCAAAGTGACACAGCCCTGACTTTGATCTCCAACCACAGAACAGTCTTTCTCTTTGGGCCTCAGGCTCATCACTTTACAACAGTGGACCAGCCTCTGTGAACCCCAAAGAGTGCCATGGCCTTCTGGACTTGTGAACAGAGAGAGGAAAGGAGGCGTGGTCACGGGATGGCGGTGGCTGATGAGAGCTCTCCAGGGGTCTTGTTATGGCTAAGAGACAGGCACGCACGTCCCGGTGACAGCTGAAGTGTGTGGGTGGAGGAGGGACAGCTGGCGCACTCTTGTTTTGGTTGGTCTCCTCTTTCTTGCTCTTTCTGATGTGTCAGCAACTTTTTCTGAATAGAAGGAATTAAGTGTCGTTGTTGTTTTAAATTTTGTTCAAGCTAAAATATAAATTGCATCTAATAGCTCCTGGGATGTTAAGACAGAAATTAACACCTCAAGAGTTGTCCTCGTATTTATAGATGAAGAAACTGAAGCTCAGAGCAGTTCTTATATTTCACCTGGGGTCTCACATCTGCGAGGGGGCAGAACTCAGAGAAAAGCCCAGGTCTTCATTCTTCCCTCCTTCACCCGAGCAATTTGATGCACATTTTACCAGGCAGAACAGGAGTCACTCCTTGTGAGGATTTAGTGATATACACACAAATCAACATCCAGAAGCCTGTTCGGACTTTCCTTTTACGAGCTTTAAATATAGCATAATGGCCGTTGAAAATAAATCTCTGGATTCCAAACTTGACAGCGTCCTTCAGCTCTGTTCTCTCTCTTGGATTACAAGGACATATTTCCATTTTATAGCAAATTGAACCCAAGTAGTTTTACTACACAGTCCAGCAAGACCGCTTTAAGTTTCAAGCCTCCAGATTTATCTTGAATGAACTTGAGGTTATGTGTGTGCGCGCGCGCGCGCTTGTGTGTGTGTGTATAAAGCCATTTTCAATGGTGTGTTCCAACCGTCTTTGAATGGGCTGTGGACAGTTCCCTGGTGGTCTCAAACTATAAATTTATGTGCTCTGTACCATTTTCATTTTTAGGACCAGATCTTTATGGAAAATGTAGGTGCAGTGAAGCAGCTGTGCAAACTAACCAACAACCTTGAAGAAAGAATAGAAGAGTTAGAAATATGGAACAGAAAGCTGGCCCAGCTGAAGCGGCTCAGTAGTTGGAAGTCCTCCGCCAGCGAAGCAAGCTCAATCAGGTACCCCAGGCTCGCCCCTGGGACAAAGGAGAGAGTGCAGTCTTTCTGTAACTACATCAATCTGAATGGTCTGTTCTGCCAAGCAGCGACCATTACTTTCTGATAATTAAGTCCCTGGTCTTATTTTAGAACATTTTGGAACACGGTTGCTTTACGTGATAATTTTCTTATGTTTTTCTGTTGCTGCTTTGAAAAAGGAAACAAAGCAAAATGCATCTGTGTAAGGGCAGTTATTATAGGAAGTGTTACATTTTAACAAAAGGGTAGCCTTGCCTTTAAAGACGACAGGTGGCCATTTCTAAATTTAGTAAACCTATTTGGTCTTCAGGGGGATAAAAACCTTACTCTGTCTTTTTTTTTTTTATTACTTAAGGAGGTAAATGCACATTTTCTGGAGTATAATCTTGAGAAAAGGGGAAATGTAACATTTAGTGCAATTATTTACACTGACTAAGGTTCTTTTCCACAAAAAGAACTCTCACTTGCCTTGATTTTTTTTCTTTTTCAAATTACCACCGTATTACAAAAAAAGTCATACTGCTGTGTTAGTGACAGCTTGGGCCTTTTTCATATAACCCCTGCAGAGGCATTTGGATAATAATTAAATTTTTTCCTTCTCTCTTTTCTTAAAGCAAATTTAGCAGAGCTCTTAGCTCATCTTCTCCAAGAAGGACCATTCCCAAAAAACCCAGCAAGGTAAATAGGCTTCAATTTATAATAAAGAGAGATGATATTTTCTGTTTTTAAAAGTCTTTAGGAAAATTGATCAAGCATTTTTTTTCTTCATCTATTAGTTGATGGGTTCCCCAGTTGCATCCTTATGCATTTCAGGCATTTAAATATTATCCCTTTAATAGATACTAACTGGCTTTTCAAAGAGAACTTTAGAGATACAGAACACGTTCATTTCAGAAATATTGTTCTGCCAGTTTTTGCTTACCTGGTCCCCATCTGGTGAAATCCGTTAACTGTCATATGCATGTGACCCTCGGCTGCAAGATCTGTATGGACCCCTTGACTCGACTTAGTCCCTTATCTTTGGCTTCAGAAGATCCCAAAGGGATCTGAGTTAATCCTCAGATCTCTCCTTCCTCTTTGATCTTTCCTGCTATATATGCAAATGGAGAATAGGTATTGACTTGCTTGCAAAGGGTAAGATGTGACAGCCTTATTAATGAATAGAGAATTTCATCAAGTCGGACAACATTTACAGTAAAAAGTGAAGGCTAATCATTAATTAACTTAAAGGGTACCCTCTCCATTGCAGACAAGTGTCAGTGCGGGAGAAGCTGCAATGCTCTCCCCGCCACAATTCATAGACGGCAGGCTGCTCCCTCTGACCCACTAGTTCTCCGAAGGGGGCCCTTCCCAGAGGAAGAGACTTATGACCTTAATCTACATCCTGTTCAGGGTTGACCTGATGTTGGGGCCACTGTCCCAGTTTACTCTCTCCCCCTCATGCTGTGCATCACTGAACTAGTCTAAGAGGATGCAGAAAGGGTTTAACGTTCTACTAAAACCTGCTAAAATGTTACACTGCGGGCAAGCTTCTTGGTATACCAATAAACATAGATACGTGGATAAAATATGTATGTAGATGTGTTCTTAAGCAAGTTTACTCAATTGAATTGGGAAGCGGATAATAACAGTATCTACCCTACAAAGATTGCTGATAGGAGTGGATGAGCTAAAGCCCTTAGCACAACACCCAGGACATACAGGCTGCTCAGTAAACACGAAACACCAAAAATTGGGGTGGAGGGTACAGCTCAGTGGTAGAGCGCATGCTTGGTGCACACAAGGTGTACATGGTTTCAGTCCCTCGTGCCTCTCTTAAGGGGGAAAAAGGAGAACAAAACATCAAAAATAATGTGTCAGGAAGATGCTCTTTGTACTAGTAAGTTTGCAGTGGGAGGGAGGGCACTGCATCCATATCCGTGGAGGCCCTGATTGGTACATTTTGGTTCATGTGCAAACTCAGTAGCCCATCTTGCACCCAAAGAATCTCTTTATTTTGCAGTTCTCTCAGAATATTAACTAGAATGTACATGAGAATGGGCCCTGTCTACCTTCCTCAGTCTGTGTCTGGAGGGTGTGTCACGTAGTAGGTACTCAAGAAATACTTGTCAAATAAATGTAGGAATGGAGAGCCCAGGCTGAAACCATTACCTGAAGGCTCACAGTCTACATCAAAAACATGAAGAGGTTTACTGTCTGGGGTGCGTGATTCTGGTGGGGCGTTGGGGCATGGACACAGAGTCAGGGACTCACACAGACCTTAAAGAGCTCCCGTTCAGCTCAGAGATCTCTCGCAGTCACTGTCTTAGGCCCGTGGGAGTCAGAAGTGGCCTCTTCTAAGGAATTTTTAGGTAGCCAGGGAAGATCAGAAGAAAACACAAAGAACAAAGAACAGTGGTACCCGGATGCGATGGATGTGGCAGGAGCTCCTGGTGCTGCGGGGGTACCGTGGGGGCCGGGTCTTCAGGGAGGCGTAAAGCTTTGGCTCGCTGGTGACAGCAGCCGCAGGAGAGGTTTCAGGTGCAGAGACACAGGCCAAGGGCGGGGAGCTGGCACTGGCTTCATCGAAGGACTAGGTGGGAGTTTGTTAGGGAGGAGAGTGGAAGATAAGGCTGAACGCAGAGGTGAGGCTCAGTGTCTGGATCACTGGGTTAGAGTTCATTTGGTACGGCCATGAAGACCTTTCGAATAATGACAGTAACTTCTCAGTTGTGCAGCGTCTCTCTTCCTTACAGACAGAAGAAGGGAGGCAGCATAGCATTGGGGTTAAGAGCACAGATTCTGGAGCCAAATGATTTTGGGTTCAAATCCTGGCTCGGTGACTCACTAGCTGTGTGCTCTTGAGGGAGGTCCACCGAATAACTCTGAAAGGTAGGCAGGTATTGTTTTATCCTGCCTATTTTGTTGACAAGGAAATGAGGGTCAATGACATTTAGATGACATGACTCCAAGTCTGACCACAGGTCTTAGGTCGTTGTCCTATACGAGGGCAAAGGGTTTTGAGCAAAAGCACGGGGATTTAAAATAATCTGGCCGCTCGGGGGAGTAGGCTGGAGGGGGGAGCTCTTATCCTGAGATTAATACTATTTAATTCTAATCGGTTCAGCAAATTTCATTGAGTTTCTTCTTTGTACAGCGCGCTGTTAGGGCAACCTCAGAACAGTTGCAGCGAGATGCGGAAGTGGGAGAAACCACCCACTCCTTGGTATTCAGAGTGGCTTCCATTTGCACTTATGGATGACTCAGTTATAATAGCTCTGAAGGGTTGGGTACTTGTTGAAAAGGGTATGGTTAATACGCCCACCCCCCACTATTACACGGAAGGACATTTCTGTAGGCAGATAAACAGCCCAAGACATTTGAAGACCAACTTAAACGATTTCATAACTACCACCATCCTCCAATTCCCTTCTGACCCCGTACTCCCAGGAGGGAGCAAACATAACACTCTATCGCATCGGTAGGAAGACTCATGTTTAGGGAGCACTGTATTTAAAGTGGGCAGAAAACCGCTCCTGTCTCTGCAGCCGGCTCCCTCACCCGTTGCACGGCTGTGTCTATGCTGTCGTTCTTGGCTCGTTCCTCATAGGCAAGTTTTTACGGCAGTGGGTACCAGTCCTAAAGGCTCGTCTCAGCCACTTCCTAGAGAGTGTAACTGGATTGTTTTCACATCCCCTATAGTGTTGCGCATAATAGTGTTTAATGAGCATTTGTTGAATGGGTATAAACATAAACAAGACACAAGCCCTAACTGTCCTCCAAAAAAAAAAAGTGTCAGAATGGGATTACAATGTGTATGATTTAAGGAGTATTTAATAGCATTTCCTGCCATAATTTTCTATGGCTTGTCCTGATGCCTGAAATGTTTCCATTGGCATTTGGAACACCATGTCTTGAAGACCTTTTGCTTCTCGAGAGTATCCTGCAGGACGTCAGGGAGAAGGGAGCATAGGCTGGTCAAGGGAAGGCGGGAACTTGGGGTAAGCTTTGAAAGAACTTCGTTTTCAGAGAGGCAGACGGTAGGGTGAAGGCAGCAGCAAAGATCCCCCAGGGCTGGGTCTTCAAGCGTCCTTCTCAAAGTGGGCGTCACTGATTTATCATTTCTCATTGCTGAATCTTTTTATAGGTTTATTTTTCAGGAAAAAACCAGTCATGTCCCAACTGGGTTTTCCAGACCTTGGTTATAACGCTCATTGCTGTGATGGCCTTTTGGTAAGAAAAACATCAGTGCTGTGCTATGTCGAGCTCTTTTTCCCTTCCCATCTTCCTTTTCTCACACGTGAACCGGGGACTGACTTTCTATTTACTTTGAAGACAAGGAGCCCTTTAAACCAGGCATTGACCTTTGATTTTGCTCAGTGACGAGGGAGCCGTTCATTTACTAGAAAAGAAGCATGGACTTTTTGCTCTTAGATACGAGACGAAGGGTGATCTTTTTTTCTAATCAACTAATGTCTTTCACCAGCTCACTGTGCCCTTCGTGTGTGCTTGTGTGTGCCTGTGAGGGTGTGTGTATCTTTTTCAGTCTTGCAAATAACTTTGATCTTAAATTCTGTGTTCTCCTTCCTGTCCGCTTGTGGGGAAGGAGTGAGTAAGCAGTTAGGTACGATCCACTTTCCCCTGGACATGCATATTTATTAGGATTCTTCTGGATTTTATACCAAAAGGGACCAGGAGATTACCCCAGGACATGCAACAAGGTGAAGTCGTAGGCAAATGTACTAGGCAGTTAAAGCAAACAGTACAGTAAGGACATCACCTGCTGTCCATCACCAGGCCTCCTCTGCAGGGAGGGGTCCGTCCCTTACGGGGATGGGGAGACTTTCTCAGGCCTCTGGCCGCTGGTCTTCAGGCTCGTGCTGCAGCTGTGACGGCAGCTCATCCTCTGAGCCCTGGTCATCCTTCCTGTGTCCTCCATGCCTTCTTGCTTTCAGTCTGACGACCCAATGGTGAAAGGGGCATTTATCTGTCCCTCCAGAAATTCTTTGTTAGTGTAGGAAGGGACTTGCTTCTGGGCCGTGGCTCAGGGGAGACAGTTATCCTTGGAGGCACAGTAAGGGGCGGTTCCAAGGATGCTTCCAGCTCCTTGATCTAAAGCAGCTTCTTCACTATAGGAGACAGTGTGAGCCTCTCTGCACCCTGCTCCTCCCTCAGCATTTTAACTTTTCTCTTGCTACTGCGCACTGTGGGAGGCACCCCGGGTAGGTGACACCACTACACAGATTTCCCATTAGAAGCCCGTGTACTTTTCTCACTTTCCTAGGTGAGCATGCCTTGGGCTGGGATTCCCAACTCAGGAGAACGTGAGCTTCTGCTTTTGCAGACATGCTTAGCCTTCTCTGAAGACTCAGATTCCCATGAAAACCTGATGGAAAGCTTATCAGAAGTCTGATTTTGACATAAAAAGATTTCTTTTTAAATGTGCTTATTAGATCTTGTGAATTCCAGTGTTGTTGACGTCTAAGACCAGAAATGGGAGGTGTTAGGCCTATTACCTTCTTTCTGGGCTGTGGTGTACCTGAGAAGGGTCAAAACCCCAAAGAAGGAAGCAGATGTCCATTTCATTCTATGATCTTGGAGGTTGCCCAGGCCATGCATTGAAGCACATGGCAGAGACAAACCAGAAAGAGTATTTAAGTATTAGTAATAGGGAGATAGAGAGGGGGGCACGTGGGAGAACAGAGTAAGGGAGACTGGACCACAGCAAGCGGTTGCCGGGGCGACACAACAGATCGTGTCTGACGGCATCTTTGGGGCTCAGCCCCACTCATCCCGGGCAGGGATGTGCCCACTGGGCAGTGACCAGCTCCTACTGAGAACGCTCTGGGAATTCTTTCTTTGTGAGTGGAATTCGAACGTGTGGCACATTTCTTTGTGTATATTTCATGATGGTAATTCCACTACCTTTGATGCGGAAGGAGCCACATAATGAGGAACCACGCCTGGGGAACCAGGTGTGAAGTTGAGGCGGCAAGAGGTCAAGCTATATCCTCCCAGGTCTGCCCCAGCACACAGCGGGGTTGTAGAAAGAGCTCTAAAGACACCCCACAAAGAGAACGCTGAGTGTCCGGATGTATGAGCATTACTGGGACTAGCTTCCCAAAGCTCAGAACCTGTCCGGAAGGCTTCCATTTGCATCTGTAAGTTCTGATAACTGGGGGAAAAGATATACTCATTATTTTGAAGTCATGTAGTGTGGAAGTGGATGCTTTACTGCCCTTTTCCTCCCTCTGTCCGATTTGGTGCGGTGTGCTCTGGGAAGACAGGCAGCAGGAAGACGTCAGAAGCGGCCCAGTGGGGTTGGTCCCACCTCTGACTAAACCCGGGCGGCCTTTCATCTCCCAGCGCGGGCGCCCTCGGCCGGGGCGGGGGATGTGAACTTGGCTCTGACTTTTTCCTACAAGGAGCAGAGGGCTGCCTCCAGAGACTCACACACTTCCTCCTGTGATCTTCCACTCATGACAGCTGCTTCTGAGACGGCTTGCGGGCACTGGGGGCTGCTCTGTGGAAAAATCCATCAGCTCCAAATACGCCTGGAGCCTCTGAGCTCCAGGAAGACTGGGACTTTCTCTCCCCAGGCAGAGAGCAGAGTGTGCTGGTTTCCACGGTGCTCCTGTCGCCAGGGCCACCCCCCGCCCCCAATCTCTGTGGCCTGGGAGAGGACATCTCTGTCTGGCTGGCTGTGTGAGTTCTAACTAGAGTCCAGTCTGTCACCTAACACGCTCTTTTGTTATTTTTCGAACAGTGCCTTGACGATCGTCTCCCTTTACATACTTAGCTTAAAAGATCAAGACCGATGTACCCCGGGTCTCCCTTCCAGGTGAGAACTCCTTCCTGTTTTCCTTTGGGGAGAGGAATTCTTGATGTCCTCCTTCATTAATGACTTCCTCCTCCTCCTCCTTCTCCAGCAACGTGACAAGCTCTCAGGAGCCGGAGCTGCCACCCACAGCCTCCCCCTCGGGTAAGGCCTTCACATTCTCACCCTCCAGCCAGCCCGGGTTTCCTGCGAACCGTCAAGAGAAGAACCAGCCTTTCGGGTCCACCTTGTCACGCCCCTCCCCTCTGCCCAATGCTTTGCAGCACCGAATGCATCTGTTGCAACCTCACAACCCTCCTTCCAAGTACCAGAAATCACTTTCTGTGAGATCCTGCCGTGTCTGGAGACTTACTGCTGCCCGATCTGGGGAACAGGAAGACTCCTCTCCAGTCCTGTGCAAAGACAGTCGGAGGAGAAGCAGCCCCACCAGAGGCTGCGGGCAGGTAAAGAACCTTCAATGAGAAACAGCTAGTGCTTGGAACCCGAGGTTTTCTCCCCTTGTCAGCATCCACTTGGGTAGTCTGTTCAGGCTTCCACTCTCCTCTCTGTGGGGCGGCAGGATCTTTAAAAACACAGATACCCACAATTGCAATCATTTATAATATTGAGTTCCCCACACAGGGCTGAAGTTTTGGTTGATTCAAGTGAAAGGGTCTCATTTTGCTTGTTGCCAATCAAGACAGTAAGAGTAACACAGTGAAGTAATTATGTGTGGATGGGTAGGTGTTTTGGCTCACTTAGAACTTAAAAAATGATGTAGCATCTGGGCTCTCTGCCCAAACCAACTAGGGCAAAATGTAAAAGGCTCTGGGGACTCTCATGAGTTTAGGGCAAGCTTGAAGTCAGTGAAAAACACGAAGTTGGCATTCCGCTTTCAGAATACCTTCTTCTTCCTCTTCTTAGGAACGCTCACGCACGCATGCGCGCGCGCACACACACGCACACACACACACTAGTGCCTTTTATAACAGAATTTTCATGTTAAAAAAATTATGGAAACTTGATCAAGGGCTAAAAGTGTAATGGTCTCTGTAAGATCGGATGCTTTACATCCAAATGTATACTAAGTTATTATCATTTTTAGAAATTTCCTTCTGTGTACACACATATTAACAAATGTCTAAAACGATGCTAATGATGCTAATGTAACAATATATGCATATCAGTGGCTTCTCTATTAGCATGTGTGGTAACAGCAACTCCCAGATCACAGCGGCTTAATGTGGCAAAAAAATGTATTCGACTCTCTATGCGTCAAATGTGGATGAAAAAATGGCTCTTGTTTATCAGACTTCAGGACTCAGCTGATGGAGACTCCGTCTCAGTTAATTGTTTCCACAGTCTCTGTCACAGTGGTAAGAGAACAGGGCCAATGGTGCACCGGCTCTTACAGCTTCCACTGGGCTGGAACACACGTCACTTCTGCTTATGCTGTCCTGGCCAAAACAAATGACATTGGTCACATCTAATTTAAAAACGTTTGGCAAAGTACAGACCTCAGACTTGCCTGGAAGAAGATGAACCAGAATATTTGCAAGCAGCCCCGATGACTAATGACACGTAGTCCATGGTCAGTGGTCAGAGTTTGGGGAAGCAATGTAATTCCTTTTTCCTTTTGATGTAATTTCATATTTGAGGCTTGAGTAAATAACTTCTACAAATCATCGTCATCACCACCACCATGTAATGAAATACTACTACTGCAGGCAAGGTCCTGTCCTAAGTGGGCTACACGAATAAGTTATCTTGTCCTCACAAGCTTAAAAGATAGTCACTGTTGTCAGCGGATGGAAGGACCCCTAAATTAGGAGGCCCACCAGAGTGTGGGTACTTGCCACCGGCTGTGAAAGAATTCGCACAACAGAGGGGCGAAGGGAACAGCCGCTTTATTACTCAGAAAGGGAGAAGGAAGGAAGATGCTCAAGTAAGAAAGAGGCACTCGAGCGGGGAGCCATCAGCCAAGATGGGCGGCAGGGACAGCTCTGGCCTGAGTCAGGCCACGTGGACTTTTACAGGAAGCTCCTGCCACCATGTCCTTGTTCAGGTGTGATGGAGCCAATCAGGCCTTGTTAAGAGTTTTTCAGTCCTTGTATGGACTTTTCCGGTTGTTGTCCTGGCAACCGTCAACTGTCATGGCGCCGGTGGGTGTGTCACTTAGCAGGCTAATACATTACAATGAGCACAGAATGGGGCTCAGGTTCCCCTAGAAGTCCAGTCCTCCACCATCTTGGACTGGGTGGGTTCTAACCACTTCCTACTTCTTCTCTGCATCTGCCTCCTGATAGAATAATTGGTTTCTATTCCAGGGAGGGGGCAAGGGTATGACCCTGGGGGCAACAGCCTTGGTAACAAAAAGGAAAGTTGCTTTTAATCAGAATGCCTGCAATCTAGTGGACCCAGCATCCCCACTCAGAATTTTTTTTTTCCATAAGATTCTGTTCAGCCATGAAAGTTTTAAAAGGAAATGAAGGAATAATCTCAGTCAATAGTTGAGGTAGGTGGCCAGAGTCATTGCCGTCCCCCAGTGCCTGCAGGCTTGTCCTAATGAACTGCTTGAACCTGTTCTTCTGTGACTCCCGGAGGCTTGGGGAACCAGCTTTTCTGTAAACAAGAGGCAGGGGTAGGGGGGCCACTGGGTCCTGCTCTCTTACACTGTGTTTATCCCCATTTATTTCCAGTGAGGAACCTGAGGCACAGAGAGTTTTCCCCACACCTGTAGGAGGCAATGCTTGTATTGTTTTCCTCAAGAAAGCAATTTTTGATTGAACTTGGGAACAGATGCATCTCTATAGGGTGAGGATAGAAGTTCGATCTGAAGGAAAGAATTCGTTTCAGTCATCATGTCCTCAATAGTTTTAAATACGGAAAAATCCATTATTGTAACAAACATCCCCCAGAACCATCATCCTTTGTTTAAAGAGCATGGAACCTCGTGGCTGGTAAACCCTTTCCTAACTTTGGGGGTCCACCTTGGGGACGCTTGGTGTCCTTTTCTGAGAGCAGTCCTCAGATGAGACACAGAGGTGAGATGGATAGCCATGGATCCTGAAAAGGCAGAGGTTGGAGACTGGCCCGATCTTTGTTTTCAAAAAAATGTTTTGACCCTTGAGCAAGTGCACTCCTATAGCAACCAGCTCTCTTCACATTAGGAAGAGCTTATCAAACCAGATGAAGTTTGGCAGCTCTGTTCCCTGGGACAACAAGTGTCTGTTCATCTTATGTTCTGTAACTATGGGAGGCACGGAGGAGACTCCCAAAGAAAGAAAGTCTGCTGCAAGGTGCCTGGCTGTGCCCTCCTACACGCATCGGCTTCTCTGGCTCAAAGTGGAACTTAGGTTCTGCTTTCCCAGGCTCTCTGACACACAGGGAAAGTTGTTCCCCCTTCCCTCGTTCAATTGGAGAAGAAATGGGAAGGTCTTAGATGTTCCATTTACTATCACCTTCAGGAAACTTCACCACTTTGGGGGATTTAGAAGCAGAGAATGTCACAGAACACAGACATCAGTGTCACCTTGACCTTTGACCCTGAGGTTATTAATCCATTATACTTTGACAATGATTTGACAGAGAAGGTATCGAGGAAAGATGTGACTCTAAATTCAGCTAAGCTTTTAACTGAATTATTTTTGTTAATCCAACAGCAGCATTTGAAAAGTGGTACAAATCTATGGGAGAGATGTTACTTTTCAAGTTCACAGCCAACACCACAGACTCCTTCATGCAATCATCTGAGGTTCCAAAGTCTCCAGGTCAGGAGAACCCCTGATTTATGCCAGTTTACCCATTTTACAGCTGATGAAACAGAGGCTCAGGACCTTGCTTAAGATCCTGCAGTGAATTATGAGCAAAGTTGAAGTTAAAATCTGGGTCCCCAGGCTCCCTGTTCTTGGTTCCTTCCCATTGACCATTCTGCCTTCATTTATTTGGGCTGATGTGTGCATGTACCTGGGCTCAACTCTGGAAGATGCAGCAAGTTTCCACTTACAGTTCTAGAAAGCCCTTTCAGCACTCTCTGCCCCTCCCCTTTGTCTGAAGCCATTGAACTACCCCCAGTGTGGGATATTCCCAGGGGTCTGAGGAAAGCACTTCTCTTCTGCTGCTGCTTCATCTTTCCCCTCTGTCTAGGGCACCAGGAACATCAGGGTTCCTAGATCCAAAGGAGTTGAAAGCAAGGCAAATATTCTTTTCAACCAGATGTTTCTGAGGCATTGAAGATTAGTTACAAGTTAAGGAATAAAAAATTTTGTAATTAATTAAAAAAAAACCCCTTAGAACAACTCTCAGTGGAATGTGGAGTAATATTTAATAGTTTACCCAGTCCCAGAACACATTTATGAGCTTCTGTCCTGAGGATTAAGCCTACTAGTAAAATAAGTGAAGGGAAATCAGCATTTTTGTGTCATGCTGAGCTCAAGCCATTATTCTTCCTTTGGGCCTGAGTTGATTGCAGGAAGTGTCTTTCAGAAAGTTTGTCCTCTCTCCCACACTTAATAAAAGGTTTGAGTAAGACTAACAGGAAATGGAAAGTGGATATTTCAGAATATTCAGCTTCTGCTCTGAGGAACCAACTGAGTGTGATGGATTATATTTTAATCTGTGGAACCAATAAAGATTTAAAATGGCAGCAGAGTTAGATGTTACAAAGTTAAGGAGCATGTGAGAAAAAAATTAATGGAATTCTATGGATTTTAAGAGATTTGGTAAAGATTTTTTAAAATTCACAAAACAAAAGCTCACTTTGTTTTGGAGACCAGAACTCTGAGAAGAGCCAATGACCAAAAGAAAATGTTTCCCTGTGTTAAAGGACTCAGTCACCAATTGGTTGGGCTCGTTGACTTCTTCTTGGCCTGGGTATGTTTCAATCAGGAAAGAAAAAGGTATTTAAGATGCTGTATTGGGACTCAGCCATCAGCACAGTTTTACAAGTAGCGCAATATACACATTATACCACGACAGGATATGCTTTGGTTGGACTCCATCTTAAATCTTTCCTTTCCAGAAGTTTCTAATTTAGTTTATTGGGAGATCTCATCTGCTGATTGTGAAATATGTCTCCAACTTTACGATGAAAACCATTGGGAATGTATATTAAGTTTATAGGGAATATTGCTGGAAGGCATTTGTAAAATGAGAGCCACCCCCTATAGGACTACAGGAGAATGTGTGGTTTTCCAATAACCAGCTTTTCGGAACTGCATACTACTGCTTCAGAGAAGTGACAAAGTGAAGGTGTTTTACAGGAGATTTCAAATTTGTTATTTGCAATTCTGCTTTTGAAAACCATTTTCAGAATTCTAAGCTGTAAGATTATGTTTCTGCAACTTCACTTTTTTATACTGTTAAGAAGACTTTATTCCATTTAGACACTAAGTCCTATTATAGGGTTCTATGTCTGCGGGAACCTGAAAACACACCTCTGCAGAAGTAAGGCAACTCTGTAGTTCTATTGCCAGAATTTATAATGAGCTCTTTTCCTGCAAACTCAGCAGGAAAGTAGAACAAAAGGTAAGGAAAGAAAACAGACAGGAGGGAGAGGGAAGTCTGGTTTCCCCTTCTCTTTATACCTCATTTGCCTTGTAATATAGCCTTCTATGGAAGCAGTCTTAAGCAGAACTCATAGCAGGAGATGTGTGCTTGAAGATTATTATTTGAATAGCTGGACCCCAAGAAATCCGGAGGCCTGTTAGACAGCATGTATATTTATTTGTAAAGACAAATAAATATTCAATTTCTGGAAAATCCTCCTTTATCAAGGTCCATTTCTTCTTGGAAGAGAGCATCTCCTCCAAGTCTTGGGAAACTTGCCTTGCCTTTAAGTTCTGTCTCACTCTTGTTGGCTATTGGGATAAAGAAGCCCCATGTCCCACATCCATTCCCAGCATCCCTCTGCTCCCATCCCTAGGGATTTCCCCTTTGAGTGTGTAAGAGCAAACATTTTTCTAGAAGATACACAATTGGCTTTCCTGCTGCTCTTCCTTCTTTCCCTAACGCTCCTCCTTCCATCCTTTTACAAATATATACTGAGCACTACAGTTGAGGTTGACCTCACCTTATGTGGGGATATAAAAGTGAACAATAGTCAGTCTCCCAGAAGCTCAGCTAGGTGACTGGACAAGTAAACCAGCTCTTCCACTGAGTGTGAGAAGCACTAACCAGGACAGAGATACTTTGGGGTGCTTGCCCCCAAGTAGTGAGCCCTGTTGCTTTGCTTTCTGTCCTGAACTTTCGTACAGAAGCTTGACCAGAAACTTGTTTTAGAGTGTACCTCTTTTTCCTTCCCATGAAAGCAGCACATATTGTATTAACTTCCGTCTCTTGCTAAGTGACGTTGATGAATTTGTGTTTTTCCCAAAACTTATTGAAAAATACAGATATTGTTCAGTGCCAATGAAGGAATGTAATCAAGAACACATATACTTGAAAAAAATCTGCAAATTAAAAAAATGCAAAAACTTTAAAATCCTTTTTTTAGGTTTGTCAGGTTTGCTTAGCAACTCACTTGATGATTGCTTTTACTATCCGCTTCAGAAAAGATACATTTGATTTCACAGCCTTAACAATCATCCGAATGGTGAGCTTTCCAAAATTGCTTTTAAAATGGCTTTTCGGCTCTGATGGATCATAAGCACTGCCCTGGTTTCCTTCCCCACGAGCAGGCTCTGGTCCCACACCAGGGATGTGATTCGTCTCTTCAGGTGGTTGCAGCTCAATTTTTATCTTAAACTTGCTTTTTTTCCTGTGTGGATCACATTATGCTTGGAGTTATAGATGGTTCAAAGAACATGAAGAGAGGTTCCCTATTCTGGAGGTGTCGAGAAGGGGCAAAAATACATGAAAGGTTGGGTCACAATACAGAAATATCCCTTTGGTATAGTGATGTCACTGACTGATCACCTCCTATGGGATTCAGTGGTGACGGAGGGAGCTGTGAGCTACAGCGTCCTAGTCCGGGGTGATGTCTTAGTCGGCTGGGGTTGTCCTAACCAAATGCCACAGACTAGGTGACTTAAACAATGGAAATTTATTTTCTCCCAGTTCTGGAGGCTTAAGGTCTGAGATTAAGGTGTTAACAGGTCTGGTTTCTCGAGGTCTCACTCGGTGGTTCAAAGATGGCCACCTTCTCTCTGTGTCCTTGCAAGTTCTTTCCACCAGGCCCGCGGGCCTCTTTGGTGTCCTAATCTCCTCTTCTTATAAGAATGCCAGTCAGATTGGACTAGACCTGTTAGACACCCTAACAGCCTCATTTTAATTTAATTGTCTCGCTGAAGGCCCATCTCCGAACACAGTCACATTCTGAGGTACTAACGGTTAGGACTTCATACATAAGAGGAATCAGTTCAGCCCCAAGCAGGTGGTTCCTTGGAGAAGCGTGAGAATAAACTGGATCTGTAAGAAATGAGGTAGGGATGTGATGAGTTGAAAGGTGGGAGGGAGAAAGGTAGGGGAAACATTCAATGGAAAGGAGAAATTGGGGCACACGCTGGGTTTCTATTCATCCTGAACCAGCTTCTGGTTCAGGACTGACGGGCTTTTTCTGTCTTCAGGAGACAGGAGCACATCGTTCGTGGCAGCAGAGACGCAAGGCAGCCTTGACTGGGGGAGTGACTGTAAGTTTATGTATCAGTGACTTTGGCTTTGTGGAGTCCGGCAGAGTGACAACAAGCTGCAAAAGCATGGCTGAGGGAGGCGCAGGGACGGAGGCCACACTTTAAAATCCGCGAACACCCAGGGGAGTGTGTTTTCATAACTGATGCCAGCCTCACCATGAGGGAGGCCTTGGAGGTGGTCGCTCACTGCTAGACATTTGTGGTTGATCTCCGTGGATTTTAATAATGTATTTGAACTTCCTGCCCACTTCGTCTATTTTCCTGATAAATTTTTAGTTAGTTTTCTGTTTTCTGATTTTTTTTTTAAAGCTTGCTTTATTGGCCAGATTGCATGTCACATTGCATTCTCCGTTTCTAATAAATTTCAGTGTAGTAAGACTTCCACGATCTAGAAATTCTTTTGGATGTTATTGGAGCTGGATTTTTATATATATTTTTTTAGTTTTCTTAAAATTTACTGTAACAACCAAAAAAA